TTGTTTGGAAGGGTAGACCTAGGATTCCTTTACTCAACATGATCTCTATAGGCAGTACATAGTTCACGCTTTGTCAGGCAGTTATATCGGGTTCGCAACTAGCACTAATAATCTGTTCAGAAAGTGATGTACAGTACTCTCCAACACGGGCTACGTTCGGCATCGTTCTGTACTCGATAGTTCTAGTTATTTTTCCGCACTGTAATCATTTTAAATAACTTGAAAATAGCTTGTTTGAATGTCTTAACAGAAAACTCGACCCGACCGTTCATTTTAGTGGTGAACACGAAAATCAAACGAGCAGAGTTATACCAATGAGATACATTCAGCAATGAAACCTGACGGTGTATATTATCTTACTTCGAAAACCAACAACACAGCACGACCTGATAACACTGCTTATCTTGACTCACTGTTATTTAAATGTTCTGTACTTCTGAAGTTTATAAAATCAGTTTAATTACGTAGACATTACCCGTAAAATATTTCACCAATATTGCTTGGTTAATTGTCAGTTCGTTTGCTAATAATGCTTTGTCAATTGAATTCTCATAATTTATGTTATAAGAATCCCTACTATTTCCAAATTTCAAAAAACAATAGACCGCGAGATTTTTTTCATCACGGCACTATATATATGGTTTGCGACAGTTAAATGCTCATTGAGAGGTTGTGTAATGTAATAATTACACATTACAGTGATTTCAAAAAACGCCAAGTAGTTGCCACAAAAAGGGTTATGAAAAAGTAATTAATTATTCAAATACGTCAACTGCCTAATACTGAAAAGAAGAATTAACAAAAGATTTTGACACAACGTCTATATTATAGTAATTATGTAAGAATTAAGAGACTGATGGTGGAATGAATGTAAAATGACAAGTGGGAAAGTTAGAATACTGTTGAGCGTGTTTATTCGAAGTCAAGCTGAAGCTTCCTATTCTACTGGTGGTCGAGGTAGTGAGAGTGATAGTACTGACTTCGTTGGATGCAAAGGTTAAGTATTTTATTACATACATGAAACGTAACAAATGGCGAATTCCGTTAAAATGACAACAATATTGTGTTCAGTCTGATCCTTATCACGCTTTAATCTGATACACAGTAATATTTAAATGCATTTATCCAATTAATAAACCAGACAAGGCAGTTTGTAGATTTATTATAACAACAAAGTGCATTAAATAATAATAATATGATGATGTTAAGTTTACTAATTGTAATATGAATAATAAAAGCAAAACAAAAACTCAACTAAGCCGTTTTCATGAAATTGATTTTCTAAAATTCTACATATTATAACTACTTAGTGCATTACGAAACAAAATATTGTACTCAACATAGCGAGTGCATAAGTGGAGTAAAATCAATGAATACATATTAGTGAATAAAACAAAGTGCATAGAACAACAAAACACTTATTATGCTGACAAAGCATATATATAATGAAGAACTACTAATTATTAACTTCAAGCTGAATCATTACTATCGGACGCAGTAAATCTTTATTTCGAAAGAAATATGAGTAGTTCAATACTAATTATTCTACTGATTTACTGCCAAAAAGTCAACGCAGGCGTTGACTACAAAAGGCGTCGACAAATGGATGGTGTCGGTCTACGATATAAAATGAACAACTTCCGGAGTTATGAAGAGATTCTTCAACATCCTCTCGAATTTAGCTTGCGCGGAGTAGACCTCGATATTCTTCATAAATTCATGAAATATGTTGTTGACGGCTTTCTTGATTTTAATAAATGGTTTGAAGTCGTCATATATTAGTTCAAATGCGACGTACCTTTTAGACGAATGATTCATATCAACAACCAGTTGGATATCATCAAAACAGACAAAACTAAAGTATATTGATGAGTACATTAGATTCAAATGGTAATTTCTTTTTGTAAACCGCATCTACTAGCACTTGTATGATGTAAAGTTGAAGATAATCTATCAATAAGCATGTATCGAATTAGCGAAAGACTTATTAATTCTATAGTTCAGTAAACTTTTATCCATTCAAATAGTGTTATTGGACTTACGCGTAACTCAAGCCCAGATACAAATTTCTGCTTTTATATAGGCAAGACTTAATAATTACAAAACAATTAATTATAACTTGAATAATCTCTGTTGACAATAAATATACTAGGGAGATGATTGCGATTGAATTATAAACTATTATTATGGCATACCAGTACGGAAGAACGCCCAAAATCTAGTTTCAGAACCATGCATTCATCCTACAATACACGGACGAACATCTTATCTGTACTAGAGACTGATGATATTAGTAAGAACCGAGTGTACCTTTCTAAATGCAACCAATTTGTTCTAGAACCTGTGATTTATTTTCGGCTTATTTGTGATGCACTCAACAGCATTTAAATGAAAAGTAATGAAGGTGAAAGTGATTGATATTTTATAAGTATCACAATGAATTAAACATAAAGTAGTTACGTATTTATCCAGCATGAATATAATATGCACAGACATCGAGGAATATCAAAATTATCGGTATCACAAACAAAACTATCGCGATTTGAAATAAATGGGGCATCACGTCACAATGGCAGATACATAAGGTACGAAAGCGGAATATAAATGGAGAAAACATTTCCCCAAATTACTAAACTAGGGATCTGCAGTTTGTTTCGAAATTACTTCCTAACAATTTTGATGAAGCAGCACATGTTCTTTCAAAAGCAGTTTGCTGCAAGCTAGTTAAGCTTTCAAAAAGGCATACAACACTTTCGTATATATTAGCCCTGCTTGTTAAGCTAATAGTTTGTTTATTTAATGTCTCAGTATAAGGCAGTCAGATATTGTCGTACAAGTGGTTTTTTTAAGAGGAAACCAGCAATTAATTACAATGTGGAGCTTGGCGCGAACGTATATAAATCCAAGTTTTCATGCTCCATTAGCACAGAGAGATGGGATTATCAGAACAAATCAGAGTAGAAGAGTACAGAACAACAGTATTAGTTGAAGTGGAAAACATTAGAAACCAAGTAAAAAACTCAGAAAAATGTAAATCAGTGAAAAGAAATTGAAACGAATCTAGATGAGGAAAATAAATGGGACGGCAAGAAAGATAAACTTTGCAGAAAACGAAATCATGTATTATGTCAGCCGTTGAAAATAGTCATTTATACCTACCGATAGATTTGTTACCATGTATGGATGGTTTAACAGTTACCAGTTTTGAATTTTAACTAACTAGTCAGCCAGTCATAAACACATCAGTTCAAGTATCCAGGCTGAGTTCGAACACACAAGAAAATAATATCAGTAGTGATTGAGACAAATTGGTATGGTAGTTACGACTCCGAGAAATAAAGATTAAGACTATGAAACAAATAACTTAGAATCCCGGAGAAGAAAAATAATGGATATGCCTGCACTATTGCAAACGATTTTGAGTCACGTCATTCAAAAAGTCTCTAACCACCGATTACAATTCTCTTGTAGGTACCAAACAGGAAGTCTTTAACTATAAATATAGCTTAGTCCGACTGTGACTTTAAAGACTCATCGCCATGTTTTGGCTCTTCTTTCTCCCAGCCTATTCCGCCTTCGCCAGAAATGATGCAGCTTTGGAAAAGACGAGCATTTTTATCCATGCCGAAATTCCATCATATGCCAGATCAGAGCTAATTAGGCTCTGAAGTTAAATGAAACGGTTGACACGCTACCCAACTCTCAATTGCTAATATTAGTGCCGACACAAGCCAATCCTGAAGCAACATTCGGCACTTGGAAGGACGGACTTGCATTTTACACGTGGTTGCTCTATATGATCAAAGTGCTGTTCTTTAAACATCATTAATCAGTAGTAAACAATCTGCGTATTCCAAGTAAATATGTGAATTTGTTGGTTGTCAACGGATGAAAGTGTTAATTCCAGAAGAATATTTACGGCAAAGTTAAATAAATAGGGGAACCGAGCATTTCTAGCGAACACACGAAGTAATCACCTCCAACGACAGTTCGCCATGAGCTTTCATTCGATCAGCACTGATCAAGTAAATGGAATCGGACACAACAAGAATGACATGTTTTTCTACGAAACCAGATGGAGTTTTGAAGCAAGATACATAAAATCGATAACATGAATTGTGGTGAGGTTACAAATGAAAATAATCCTATGATTACACAAAAGGATATAGGTACAGAAAAATGAAAGTGAATATGTGAGGGGTGAAACTGTGGAAAGATCCTTTACGAAGTTCCGATTTCCGTGCATAGGTTAAGTTGGGAACACTTGGTGGCAATTACGATTGTAAATGGAAGCAAATGAAGAAAATTTGATTTTGAATTCATATCAGGTCGTCACCGTTCTTACCCTGCAATGACAAATTACATTCTTAGATTTACTAAGCACTATCAAAATCTCAATCGGAATTAGCATGGTTGGTATAGAAAGAATACACGAGGTGCAAATCTGCTAGTTAATTATTATGTAGAACCTTCATTTAGGTTTGAAGGAAGCTAACTTTCTTAAATCTGGAAAGCGTCAATCGCGTTTTGAAATTGTTTTAATATTATTCGAACATCTACGGAAGTGACTTAACAATTGATGTTTCGTCATTTCGAAGCACAAGATACTCTATTACAACAAATCTAAATACAATGCTAAAAAGACTGAGGTCCACAGGTAAAACGCGAACATCCAACAGACCTACTTTTAATCAACTTGATTTCGTGGCTGTGGACACCAAAATTACAGTATTAGTAAATTTTAGAATAAATGAAGCAATATTGATACTCATGTACTTCGGTATGCCGGCAGTTTTGCGTACAACAAATAATAACATGTCAAGAAAGGGAAAGAAATAGATGTTTACAAACAACAGTACAATAATTATCTGCTTGCAATACTTATTCAGGGGATCAACTTTTTGTTGCAACAGAGCATCAATGAGAGACTGACAGGTTTAAGAAACATACGAATATTCTAAGTATGGAGATAGTTGATTACCAGCTATAACGTACACAGGTTAGAAATTGTGCAAATGTAAACGAAATGTAGAATCCGTGACCAGGAAACAATTATTGAATTTTCGAAGGAAAAACAATTCGCAAAATGATAAAGCCGGGTCTTCATCACACTAAAAAAAAACAAGTACGGTGTGAGTATCTATGTTGACAAATACTTGACTGAAAACAGATAACAAATTATCACCAAATATTATACAAACATTTACTGGTTTGAAAGCTGTTGTAGTGTACATCCTATCTGAAATTAATTTGAATCAGTCAGTTACGACGTAGAATTTGGAACGTATATACATCAGTTAAAGGTGAAATACCACATTCACTCAGGCAATCGAAACCAGTGTTGTCTTCTCAAGCTCTAGTTAGGCGTCGTAGTATTACCGAGGCTATTATTTTAGACACTATATAAGTTAAACTGATTACTGTGTCATTGTCACAAGAAGGCTTTAGTCCTTTCTTATAGACCACGATAGTGACTGAGGCCACTCATATGCGGGTTACATACATTCTACCTGCAATTTTAATTAATCAAACTGACAAAAATGAACCACCATCATTAGAAATCTCAGCGGTTAAGCCACTGGGTCCTACTGATCTCTCGTGATTCAGATTTCTTATTGCCTTTTCAACCCTATTGTGAGTAAGAGGACATACACCAACTTGCCAATTGGGAATCGAAGGTAAAGGATATGTGGCTGAAGGTCAGTTGAACTGACCCCTCAGTGTCCTACCAATCGATCAAATCTCCTGAATTGAAAACGAACAATAAGACTTTCCTCATACACAATCTCACTAACTGTCACATTTCTGATGCCGGGTACATTGATAAAGCTGAAAGTTTGTCTACAGTTTTCTATTGCCACTGCATTCATATGAAAAGTTTTTGGAGTGTTAGTTGCGCTCTTGATAGAGACTCGCCCCGGAGAGTGAAATCCGTGGAGTAAGGTGAGGCTTGATAGTATTGTGGTCGACCGGTTCCAACACCTTCCCTCCATTGTCAGAAGGCAGCATCGTCGCAGTTGGTTGTCCGAGGAAAACACCTTACCGCTGTCACACCTATTTACAGGCAGCAGTACGTCTTCACCCTCAAACCTTGAGTTGCTGCTTTTAATTTCATCGTTCTCAAATCGACCTGCTTTTTTCTTATTCTTTGAACTTGAGAAATCTTTTACGGTATGTAAGTTGGGGAAGACAGACAGACACAACGCAGAACTTCGTACGTAAGTACATCAGTGCAGGCTGCCATACAACGTCAGCACAGAGACGTAACCGTCAGTTCAAATCTAAGAGTGATAGCGATAGTAGAATTGTTGGCAGTATTGGAGAAGATTAGGGAGCAAAGATATGATTCGAGGAGTAGAATTCAGTGAGATAAATTTAGGAGGAGAAAGAGATTATGAGGAATTCAGAAAGTTAGAATTAGAGAGAACACAAACAATGGATTCACCTGCGCCATTGCAAACGATTCTGAGCCATGTCGTTCAAGGTCTCTAACCATTAGTGACTTTCGTCTCGCGGACCGCAAACAGGTAGTCTACATCTACCAACATGACTCAGTCCACTTGTCTTTAGCTTTCTTCCAACCTACTCCTACACCACAAAACATAGCTCGTCGAGGCAGTCAGTGGTTAGGCATACGTAACACATGTCCCGACCACCTCAACTGATGAAGTTTCACCACTTCATATATTGATTTGCCATCCTTACCTAGAACTCGTTTCCTAACGAGAGCATTGCTTATACGGTTGTCCCAGGATACACGAGCAATAATTCGAAGACATCTATGATTGAATACTAGAAACCTACGAAAGCCCACTACTCTTAACGGCCATATTTCGAATTCGTAGAGTAGGACACGGCAAACTGCTGCGCAGTACACTCGTCCTTTGGTCAACGAACAGATATCTCGCCTGCGCAAAAGTGACGCTGGTTGGCAAAAGCAAATCGACCCTTATGTAGCCCAGATGAGACCTCCCAGATAAATGAAGCGGTCTACACGTTCGACTACTTTACTCCCTATCACGAGTTCAAGTGCCGATGTAACCCAATCCTGAAGCAACATTTTGCATTTCAAGGGGCAAAACCGCATCCCGAACATGCTTGCATTGTTGCTTACGGTAGTAAAAGACTCTGCATCTTCACTAAATAGAACTATGTCATCGGCATATTCTAAGTCAGCAAGCGTGTCCAACTATGAGGATCTAGACCACTTAAGTGTATTAACGTGCTCTTTGTAGGTTAAAACAAGCACTAACATTTGGACATGTCAACATAAAGACGGCATAGTATAAGCCACAGAACTTGATGACTTTCTAACTATGCTCAGATAACCAACTATTTCTAGCAAACACTAATTTTAAGCATAAGGAAAAACATCTTTTGACCTAGCGACCCCCGAAGTCGTCTCAACGTTGGACACAACTAGATCATATCGCCATCAGCCACCGATGGAGGGGTTCGATAGAGGACTGTCGCTTGTTCTGGTGCACATGTTTAGATTCAGATCATGCCCTAGTGCGAGCACGTAATTGTTTGAGGCTTGCTGGACGTACGAAAGACACCGTAAGGAAGCCTCTTAGGGCTTTACTTGTTGATAATCAAGCTAAGAAAACACTTCAGGAGGAACTAGAAAAAGTTAGGCGGCTATGCAAGTGATTCCCATCCTGAAGCAGGTTGGAATCATATCAAGAAGGCTGTGGAAACAGCGATGGTATCTGCTAGCAAGGTAAACCACAAGGCTAGGATGAAGCAGTGGATCTCAATAGCATCCACCGAACTGATGGATGCTCGAAAATGCATCCCACCTGACTCTGAACATGACGAAGAGCGTAGTCAGCTTAGGCGCAGACTTATAAAAAGCCTACGTAACGACCGTGAACAGTGGTGGGTGGCGAAAGCAAAAGCGATGGAAAAGGCAGCGGAGATAGGCAACACTAGACAACTTTTCCGCCTTATCAAAGAAACCGGTATTAGGAACCCGAATGTAAGTGAGACTATCGCGGAAAAGGATGGGATTATTATCCATTCTCAATCTAGGAGGCTGGACTGATGGGCAGAACACTTTAGGGATCAGTTCAACTGGCCTTCAGCCACTCTTCGGTTGCCCACGATCTCAAGTCATCCTGAATGGCAAATCGAGAAAGTTGAGAAAGCTATAGGATATCTAAGGGGAGGTAGAGCGGCGGGTCCTGATAGGCTTACCACTGAGATGTTTAAGGATGGTGGTCCAGTTTTAACGGTTAGACTGACCGAGATCTTAGGTAGAATCTGGGAACTGGACGTAATCCCATCTGACTGGTCTCAGTCGCTAATTGTCCCAATCTACAAGAAAGGACAGAAGTCCTCTTGTGACAATCACAGGGGAATAAGTTTAACTAATATAGTTTCTAAATTGTTAGCCTCGATTATACTTAGACGTCTAACTAGAGCTCGTGAAGAGCAGACTCGAGAAAACCAGGCTGGTTTTCGACCTGGACGTGGTTGTATAGACCACATCTTCACACTACGACAGGTCCTGGAACACAGACACACATTTAGACGTCCGACAATAGTCGTGTTCCTGGACCTTAAGGCGGCATTCGACTCAGTGGATCGTGAGGTTCTGTAGGCAGTGTCTGTCATTGAAAGGTGTACCAAAGAAGTACATTAACCTTATACAAGCACTCTACTCGAACACCACTGGTCGGGTGAGAGCATATGGCGAACTGTCATCTGAATTCTCTACATCAAGTGGTGTCCGTCAGGGCTGTCCACTCTCTCCATTCTTGTTCAACTTTGTCGTAGACATCCTCTTAGAGTTAACATTAAGCTCGTCAGATTTTTCAGGGGTTGACCTTCTACCAGGAAAGTCGCTTACTGATCTAGAATATGCCGATGACATAGTTCTATTCGGTGAAGACGCTGACAAAATGCAGTCTTCTGACTACCATAAGCAACAATGCGAGCATGTTCGGGATGCGGTTTTGCACCTTGAAATGCAAAATGTTGCTTCAAGAATGGGTTGCATTGGCACCTGAACTAGTGATAGGGAGTGAGGTAGCCGAGCGTGTTGATCACTTCACTTATCTGGGGAGTCTAATCAGTGCTGACGGCCTGGTGACTGGCGAAATCTCAGCTCCGATACAGAAGGCTCGATTGGCTTTTGCCAACCTGCGTCACTTATGGCGTAGGCGTGATATCCGTTCGCTAACCAAAGGGCGGGTGTACTGCGCAGCAGTTCGTTCCGTTCTCTTATATGGTAGTGAAACATGGCCGTTAAGAGTAGATGTTCGTAGGGTAATAGTATTCGATCATAAATGTTTAAGAAGCATTGCTCGTATATCGTGGGACAGCCGAGTAAGCAATGTTAGGTAAGGAAGGCAGTGGTGAGACTTCATCAGTTGAGGTGGTTGGGACATGTGTTACGTATGCCTAACCACCGACTACCTCGACGAGCTATGTTTTGTGGCGTAGGAGTAGGTTGGAAGAAAGTTAGGGGCGGCCAGACCAAAACATGGCACAAATCCATGAAGTCACTGACAAGTGGACTGAGTCATGTTGGTAGATGTAGACTACCTGGTTGGGGTCCGCGAGACGAAAGTCATCAATGGTTAGAGATCTTGAACGACATGGCTCAAAATCGTTTGCAATGGCGCAGGTGCATCCACTCTTTGAGCTCCCTCAAATCCTAATCTTCTGGATTCGTCAGCATCTCTACCTTAGTCTTTCTAACCTTATCTCACTGATTTATACTTCTTGAATAATATCTTCAAACCCTAGTCTTCTTCATTACCATTAATACCCCTACTATCTTTATCACAATGGGATTTGATTTGACATTTGCGTCTCTGTGCTGTGTACATACGTACGAAGTTTTACGTTGCAACTGACTGACTGATGACTTTTAAAAATACGGTGTTAACTCTCAACTAGCGATGGAGAAACTTCAATTCGCTCAGAGTACCTTCAATGATATGCATAGACTGACTCTGTGTAAGTAATGGGTGGTTAGATATGATTAACCAATGTTGAAATGAAAAATCTTGATAAGTAATCAGCTTTTGTTGAATTAACAAATTACGGTATGAAAGAGATAGAGCCAGCAATTCCTAAAGACCTATGTAAATGGATTATCTGATAATGCCGTCTACCTCTGGAAGAACTCAGGCTAGATTGAAATGGAATGCACGGGTTAACCGAATTCATGTTATCTAGTGGGAAAAAAATGAGGTATTGGAATGCATGTAAAACACTTAGCGAAAGTACTGTGAACCAATTATCAGTTAACTAGCAAACATCAGATCGTCTGTGCATATTTATCATGATAAGTTAGGAATAACAGAAAAGCGTGGCTTTATACCTTCAGTTGTCCAAGAACGTGAATAAGGATGGAATTCTCGCCCGGATGAACATCGCAGCTCGTTAAAGCGACAGCGATTTGACGAGCTGGAAGTGACTGACCAATTTTATTTGAGTTTTTGGAACCTTACTTGAAATTTTTCACCGATTTTCTGTTTTCCTAGTATTTCTTGGCCTTCATATGTCATCCTTGCTTGATCCTAAAACAAAAATATGGACAAATACATCTAATACATGATAAAAATGTTGAAGCTGGCTTCTATCTGTCCTCAAAACATTGTAGAATTCGGAAACGAAACTTTCCCCTATCTTGCGGTAGTTATCCGGATATAGCGCTTGGTTCAACATGGCCACAGTGCCGACAAATCAGAATTTGCCGCGTACCTTCTCTGGCTTAAAACACGAACTGCGTTTCAGTCTTTAGTAATTAGGATAAGGGATCTGTGAACTCCTGTCATTATATGCATATTGTTTTACTGCTTAAATACAGATTATCCTTGAAATTGTTCATCGATAAGACTGAGGTCATCCATACGGACGATGCCTTCGAGGCACTGACTAGTCGTTTTGGAAAACATAATATATTCATAGATTTATTTGATCTCAATTCCTGAACCTTCCTTTAAAGGGCCCCGAAGATTAACGCTTCTGGTGGAGGCGTCAATATATACGACATGTTACTACCCGATTTGTTCATCAAAATAACGATTACCAAGTCACCTCGAGTTTCAAAGATATGAAGAAATAGTTTAGTGGGTTTAGGCTTTCATTGTAGGGGATTCGGAACGTAATGTTATTTACTTGATTCCCACATGTTGGACATTCCAGAGTATTGCGATATAGTGATTTAGAAATAGACCAACTCATAGAATACATTAATCATGGTATGGTCCCGCGCAAATGGGATGAAAACTTGAAATATATCTTCATCAGGGCATTTGAATGTTCAGAACATTGATCATACCCCAGAAACATAACTTTAACGTATAGTTTTGATCACTTCATGAATTACTGTCCTTTTAATCCTGTACTCATGAAGGAGAGATTAGTTTGAATGTATACAGGTAGCAACTGACGTGTCCAAAGTGCAATGGCTCACACTTTCCAGAAATAAGTGCGAAGCATTTACTTTGAGACCCCCCCCAATTAGTTCTTCTAGATCAGCTTGCAGACCATGATGATCGGACGCAATATTGATTGTTTTCCAGAATTGACTTCATCCATATACAAGTGCCGTTGACCTAGATAGTTTCGGTAATTCATTGACCTAGTGAAGAAAAAGTGAGAAAACTAAGCCATGTTTTAGCCGGTTTCCATTCAGAGAGCGTGAAACTTACCCTCAGCCTCTGACATTGACTGCAAATTTAATGACTTTTCCATTTACCTATGTCACCAGTTTTTCAACATCTTGAGACTTCTAGTTGAAAAGCCTTATCAAATACTTAACTAAAGCTTATATTCCATGTCAACAGACGAACTGTTAGCTTGGCCTTCTGACCAATCTTCATCCATAATTAGTAAGTTTGTCAAGTGACAGTGGCTATTTTAATATCCATATTTCCTAGAAGTTAAAAGAATGCGTGGTGAAAAGTGACTTAATAATCTGACTCTAATGATTTTTTCAAGTCATTTAACTAGATTGTTGGTTGGACTGATAGGCAGGAGATGAGATATGGTCTGTTTATCTCCATACTCTAGTATAGAGACGATTACTCTATCCTTCTAATCCCTATGGATTCGAGCCTTAGAAAGGGACATGTTGTGCAGCATCGTTAGTGTTTCTGAAATGATGTACGAAAAGATCTCGACAATCGTGGATGTTACCCATCAAGACATAGTGCTTTATGAGGTTTGAGGTTAATATTTAAAGTAACAAACTAAAACACCAGGTGATCACGCTTTGCACTTGTGGGTGAACACAGGACCTGTAAATATGCTTCATTAGTCTAAATCAGTATTATTCGGCTTTGGACTGCGTTGCAGGAGTGCGATTTCAATAAAAAGTGGTTGATAGTAAGCTATCGTGAAGAAATATAATAATAATAATGATAATAATAATTTATTCTCAAATAACAAACATGTTACAAGAGGCATGCCAATTTACAGACATGATAAAAATGTTAAGTTCGACAACATATTTATTTTCAAACGGTGTACAGTCACTGAAATATTCCATAAGATACATTGGCTAAATTTAGATAGCTAAAAGTTTTCACATAAAATTTGTACAAGGCGAATAATTGGCGCGAGGTACGACAGTTGCTTTACGACGAGTTTCTTAATGACCATGAAATAATGCGAGGTAGAGCCAGGTCTGCATATAACAAGATTTGATATAGCAAATGTGCCAAGAACTGGTTGATAAATTCATAGGCCCCTCGGTAAAGTAACCACGTCTTCGGCAAATATCCAGACTAATACATAGGTATTGGAAAAAGTGAAAAAGCGAAATGAAGAGGACGGGGCGAGGAGCAGAATAGAAAATATTCTTGTTCAAAGACGAACAATGACTGAGCACATGCGTTTTCGGATAAAACAAAGGTATGTTTACTCGGACGTTTTTTTCAATACAACACTAACTGCATACCTGCATTTTAGTAGGTTAATGAAGACACTTCAGTAGTAAGATAATGAATGGACATTTAATCTTATGAATAGAGGAAATTCGGAATAACCAAATTGTTAGCAACAATGTTGATTTACAGAAGATAATAATGTTGCTGAGTGATATCATGCTTTTATCATATTTTATTTATTCTTTTTATTTTTAACTCTGTGGCTCAAGAAGTTATGAATGAGCTCTTTTTCTGTATAATTGTCGGGATCTGCTTGTAATAGAATTTCTCGGTAGGAAGTTAAAACTAGTTCGAGGTTACGGACATGAGTCATAGACGAGGTTAACAAGAAAAAGTGACATCAATATTATTGATTAGTTACTTACTTACGCCTGTTACCCCCAATGGAGCATAGGCGGCCGACCAGTTTTCTCCAACCAACTCTGTCCTGCGCTTCTGTCTCCAGTTCTGTCCGACATTTGTTCATTCCTCTCATGTCTTTCTCTATTTCTCGGCGTAATGTGTTCCTTGGCCTTCCTCTTTTCCTTTTGCAATGAGTGTTCCACGTGAGGTCTTGTCTTGTGATTCAGTTAGGTGCTTTTCGTAGTGTGTGTCCTATCCACTTCCAACGCTTCTTCCTGATTTCCTCCTCCACTAGAATCTGGTTTGTTCTCTCTCACAGTACGTTGTTGCTGATGGTGTCTCGTCAACGGATCCGAAGTATTTTGCGTAGACAACTGTGATTAAACACTTGTATCTTCTGGATGATGCCTTTCGTAGTGCTTAAAGTTTCCGCTCCATACAGGTGTTAGTTATTTTATAACTAATTGTAGTTTCTCAAATAACTACGTTACAAGAGTCACGCCAGTTTACAGGCTAGATCAAATTGTCACAGATGCTTTCACAATCACTGTAAAGTTATAGCAGTTAAATTAAGTATAAGAGTCAGTTTCTGATTGCATATTTACACCATGTCACTGACAGAAACAGTATTATACAGCCACATTTTCAATAGTAGAGTACAAATAAGGAAGGAAGGTGCACAATAGGTTCTTTTGGCGATTTGCCGAGATCAATAGTGAATTTGTTGGGAAAGGTCATATGGAACGCGCTTGATACGAGCTGTGATGCAGACAGTTATGTACCTAGGGTGCATGTTCCCTAGAGTCGCCAAGGATTTCCCACCGTGAATGGCGTTCTGAAAAGGAGAAGAGAGAGAGAGAGAAAAGCAGCAGTGTGGCAAGTGTATATATATATACAAAGCACTACTTAACCCGTCATGTTGAAGTAGTCAACGTACGCCTGTCTGATATGTTGAAACTTGAAGGAATACAAAGGAAATTTACTCGTAAAGTCCTAAATCATAGCTCACCCTTTGACTATCCAACCCGATGTATTGAACTCGGGCTCGATCCATTATGGAAAAGAAGGCTTAAGTCCAATCTGATCCTTTACTTTAAACTCCTGCACAAGCTCACATATTCCTCCTGCAGTTTAGTCCTTATCCATGGCCCTTGTACACATAACCTTCGAGATAAAGTATCTACGGTCAAACTTGAGAAGTATAGATCCAAAACTCGAGAAAACTTCTTCCTCTCTAAGTATGCACTTATATGGAATAGGCTTCCCTTAAAAATACGCATGGCAAGTGGGTTACATGAGTTTGTTCAACTTCTTAATGATGCTCTCAGTTGCACTGACTCTTCTGCGCTCGTGAACTCACTCGCACCCTGCTTTCATATTAATAGCTCTGCATACACTTTAAACACAATGAACTCAGTGCTGCGTCTTATTTAGTTATTTTTACACTCCCAAGTAGCACTAATTTTTCTAGTTGAATATAAATCTCTTTAGTTTTTATTTGAAATAGACAGGTTACTCTACTAACTGGGTCGTTCGACACTGTTCAACTGTAAACTGGTTGATTAGAATGCACTCTACTCTCCTGGGCGCAACCTTATCAACACTTACAACTGTGTGAGTTTCACATTGCCTATTATCAATTATACTGTTCTCACTTACACGCTATTGACTTACCTTGGCCCCTTAGTGTTATCTATTGCTCCGCTTTTAACCGCGATACTCTTTATATCTCCTGCTTAGCTAGTTAAGTACATCTTCCCCACTACATTCAAAATACTTATATCTTGTTTGAAAATTCTTACTATTTCTCCATAACTGTTAACTGTATAGCATTGATGCCTAACCAATAGTTCATAAGTTGTAATAGCCAGACGAGTTTGTGAAAGGAACTTGCAGAAATAGTGTTTCTCAACAGGATGCGAGACATAGAACACCAAGTAGAACTCAATAGCTTCTTTTAAACATTTAACAAGAGCCTAACAACACAAAAGGAGGGAGGGTGGAGTTACTGACCAGCAAACATTGATGGTATGGGCGATAACTTCAAACAACCCATGTTTGTGGGGCAGAACATTTTGTTTGCTTTCGGCTCTTTAGATTGATGAGACGACTAATCAGTAACACTGAGGTTGCTCTTATACGCTTGCTACTTCTGTGGTTCATGTTTCCAAAACTATGCTGAGGTCGCTATTCTGTCGAGACACCTGCAACATTCTTACTCAGGCGCTTACAGTATGACTTAGAGGTTGGCATTCAATAATAAAGAAAAAAAACAGTTAGACAGTGCGAGATTTTATTCGTAAAATATTTATTTTTACAAACTCTACTCTTTTAACTAGAATTTCCATTTCAACGTACATAAATCCAGCTTCTTACTTCGACTTCTCTTCTATCCACCTGACACTGCACAACTCTCCCTTCTTTTTGCTG